GTCAATTTTAGTAATTTTAATTCAAACAATTATACATATATTTTCTTTATATGGTTTTTAAATGTTAAGTCGAGCAACACCCATACATACTTACAAGCTTTGCTTTGCCAAATGTATATATATATATCGATACAAAAACAGAAACCTATTGAAAGTGCCGAAGTTAAAGTAGGAACCGACAATTCTCGAGCTCTGCAGGACATTTTCAATGGTGTAAACCGATTTTATGTATACATTTGTGCATACATTATATATTCATAAATTTGCGTAATTATTTTACAACAAATTTGCATGTTTCTCAATGTTTTTAGCAGTTGTCTTTATACAAACAAAAAACACCGAAAAAACTAAACAAAAATAAGAAAAAAAAATATTAACCCCTATCTTAAAAAAAACAACAACAAATATCCACACCAATCAAGTTTTTTATACATATTATGCTATATTTTTATTGATTATTATACCGATTATTATCATGTTTAAATGTGTAAACAATCTTTTGATATAAACAAAATTTTTGTATATCTCTACATATACTTATAGCAATAATTTTGTGCCCCCCTCTTAATATTAAATCCCTAACAACAATATATTCTTAATTTTCTTTATAATTATCTTCCGTTATTCTCTGAAATCTTGAAACTAACCAAACAAGCCCCAACTAAAGTGCGGGGAAGAATGGTTCCACGGTTCCATTCCATTGCATGGTTCCGCTTCCACTTCCCTGCAGTTTTGAGACCCGGTTTAATGATAACTATTTAATTATGTAATGTTACTTTCGTAATTATGATTTTGAGCATATATTTATATACGATGATTGTAATGCCGAATTTTCCGATGTTTCGCCTCACAAAAACGAAAAAAAAGAAAGATCAAAATAAGCAAAACCAAACCAACCGACCGCAAAAGAACAGTAAAGAAAAGAAAAAAAAAGTAATGACCGACCCTTTATGAGGGATATTTCACACAACCACCCAAAAAGCGAATATCCAAAGCGATCACCGCCGCGCGTCTGTCTTGTCCAAGCCCTCGTGGCGGTACGATATATCCCCGGTGTCCGAATCGTTGTTGTCTGGCCCAGAGGACAACGACCCACTATCCCAACAACCAAACAACCAAAACAACCGAGCAAGCAACCAAGAAAAACAGCACCCACAGTGTTATTTTCACTTAACTGTAACGATTTTCATTTTTTACTTAAATCTTCCTTTCTATTAAACTTAAAGCGTATATATTTACAAGTAATTTAGCGTAATTAATATTTGTTTTTAGTGAAATGCATTGAAAAAAACTCTACAAAAAAAGAAACCTAAAGTAATTTACATTTAACGATTTGTCAAGCGATTTCCGAGACAATTTTTAAGCTAAAACCAGTTTTCTTGTTTTTAACAACAACAGCAACAAACAACAACAGAAAAACACGAAGAGTAATTATTATAAACATTATATTAACTCGAGTAAAACGTAAAAATTTGTTGACTATTGCATTTGTTTTTGTTTTTCGCAAAACGTTTTCAACGACACTCCAGAATATTCGCGACGAAACGAACCACGCAAACGCCGCCCCCATTTTAAACCCGATTCCCTGCCCCACGTACTCCACGTCCACATCCCTGATCGAATCGAGTCAGTCAGTCAGTCAAAGTCCCCTTTGAACGAGAAACTAACGAGAATCAAACAAAAATGAGAACACTTTTATGAAAATCTTTTTTGCTGAGGTGAGACATTCAAAAGACACACACACAAGAGCAGCAAATGAATTCGCAATCTTTGGCATCATCCAATTAATCAATGAGAAATTGTTTATCGAATTGTTAAACAAAAGCAAATATAACTTGAAATTGAAATGCTGAAATTGTTGTGTGGAAAGAAAATGAGGTAAAAATTCAAGATTTTAAATGAAACATATAAATTGCATATAACGATAACGATATAACGATAACGAGTGCTGTAAGATGAGAGAGAGATCGATTGATTGATCGATCGAATGAATGAGAAATATCCATTGCAATGCATTGTGAAACATGTTAATAAGAGTCGAGTATGATAACTAACCAGAATCAGACAACAACAAACATCAGTTAATAATATCAACCAAAAAATCGATCCGCATGTATGTGTGAGCGCCGCCTTGCGCCTTGCTCTCCCTCCATTGCTCATCCAGAGCGACACACAGCAGGAGGGAGAAGAGAGTAAATTGTTTTTATAATTTTTATTGTGTATCAGCAAACAGCAGCCAACAACCAACATAAAACCATATTGTACTTTGAGCTACAGCAAAATAACAAGAAACATTTTTAACCATCAATCTTATAATCAAAAATCCACAAACGAGAAATGAGCAAATAAAAGAAAAACGAAAAAAAAAAAACAAACCAACCAGACAACAATTTTATGTGTATTTCAGTTTGCCCTGTTCCTTTTCCACTTTCCTATGCCGTCCCAATCCGTTCCATTCCCGCTGATTCCAATTCCTGTATTCCCGCATTCCGGATTTCAACTTCTTTCCAGCTCTCGAGTTTGTGCATTTGAATTGTCTCTCCTCGGCGCGGCGTCGCCCCACTTAGCAGCAGCAAACTTTGACCAATCCAAACCGAATCCCAAACCGTTCCCGAACCATATACCAAACACAGCAAGTTCTTCTTCCACTCCATCCTCTTTCGTTTGTGTCGTCTACACCATTTATAAGCTAAGCTTTGTTTGTGTTTTCATCAATCTTCTATACAACAAACCATCACAAAATGTATACGAAACGAAAGACTACGGCTACGGCGGCGGCTTCGACGGTAATGGCTACGGAGGCGGCGGTGGTGGTGGCGGCAGTTTGGGCGGTCGCGCTGCAGGCGGCCCACGCGGCGGTGGCCCCAAAGGTATACAAAATACAGAAAACCAGCCCAGAACTTATCATCTAACTTTATGCATCTATTCCACCTCTAAAGTACTCGTCGAACCCGATCACTGATTGACTTTTTGTGTTTATCTCGTTTTTAACGCAAGTCTCTCCCGAGTTTTGTTCCATTTTTCAGTTGCCTCCTCCCCAATTGCCTGTTCGGAGTTACAAAATATGTTTCCTAGACATTGCTCTATCCTTTTGCGCTCTATCCCTAGTCTAGAGTCTTGGTCAACAAAATTTTCTAAACAGTCGCTTGAATCGTTTTGACGTAGTATAACAAAAAACACTTTTATATTCCCTCGACCCTGTCCACGTCAGACGTTGAGCATGTGTCTTGTCCCCGAGTGTTGGTGACCCGAGAATGAGATTTACTAATGCCAAAAACCGATTCATTTCCACAACAGGCGGCGGCGGCGGTGGTGGCGGTGGCGGCAGCTTCAACGGTGGCAAACAGCGCGGCTCGGGACGCCAGCCCAGGCATCAGCCGTACTAAGCAACGCTGGCACTGGGCACTCGCACTCTACAGATAACTACAAACTATTTGAATTTTACCTAGTTTAGTTTGTTATGGTGAGTAGTACTCAACACGTACCCAAATGGAGTTTCCTGGCTAACCGAAGTTTCCTGTTCTTGCAGCATTACTACAACCACAACACACCAATCCACTTTTTGAGTAAATGCATATATACGCACCTGTATATATGAGTAAACATTTGTAAAAGGGACTGCAAGGAGGCAGACATCCCCCCACAACTCTCATTGCATTAGACAGACTGGCAGCAGCAGTAGGAGTAGAAGTAGCAGTAGCAGCAGCAGCGGCTACAAGCAACAATCTTACACACATGCTGTGTAGCACCATTCCAACAACAATTAAATCAACAACAGCCGCAATCAACAACAGCCGCAACAGGAGCATCATTTAAACACACTCAGCCACACATAAAGAGTACATAAATACATACATAAATACATACAAAAGATACATACATACATACATAGATAGTTAGGCCTAGAGACATGTAATTTTTCAGCAAGTGGCTAATTTTTCATAGCCACACGCTCATTAAGCAGGCAGACCACCCCGACCCGACCCGACACCCACCCAAAAGCAAGCAGCTATCCCTCAAGCCACCCCCCCCCCCACAAGAAACACTCTTAAGCGGGCTACTCGGGGCAACCCCCTGGCAGTTCTGAGTGTCGAAACAAATTCGTTTTTCTAATGGTAGTCTCATGTATTATGCGGGGTAATTGTTGAAGAGCTACATACATGGGGGTAACATTTGATTAAACAAAATACAAATACTGTAGAGCATAAGTATTTGTTTAACTCTAATTATTGATAACTGTAACATGTAATATTGTAGTGGTAACTATAAAAAACGAGAGCAAAACAAAAGAAAACAACCGAAAGTTGTCTGGTGGGTGGGCACTGGGGGGTTTAGGCAGCGATCTGAACAAATTTAAGAAACGATTGAAACTCTACAGCAACACATACGACGACAAACCAACTGATCCACCAAAATAAACATACAAAAAAAACATAATTCTGTTTACTTTTGTTCAAAGTACTCTTGAGAGTACATAATAAATACATATACATATACATATATCTATGTATGTACATCTATCTATATATTTATATATATACAACTGCGCTGGGCAGAGAAGATAATATTTTTAAATACAAAAATTACCCACAAAAACAAAAACTGCAACACAAAACACGTACCACACAGAATTGTATAAATAGATGCCGGAACACACAAAAGAAAAACTTGTTGAAAGAATTCTCCATATATGTATACATTACTTAAACTAACTATAGTTATAAACCATATGAAAAAGTGTGTCCGTTTAAGGTAGAGGATAGAAGAGAGAGGAGATGGGAGAGTTATGAGCATTGAGCAGAGATAATGGAACGGCATTTCCGGCAAACAGATTCAGCTTAAGCTAAGACGAATTTGAAAATTGTATAAATATAGTTTCTCCCCCCCCTTTAAAAATAGCATAAACAAAAACAAAAACGTTCTTCTCTTCGCTCACAAATGAGAGAAATACGAGAGAGGAGCTCCGATTTTCAAGCGAATTACATTTAATTAAAGAAAAGTAAACTCTAATTGTTGTATTCATTATGTATAACACTTAATTTGGCACAAAGAAAACGAAAACTACATTTAAACACTGTGAAATTTTGTGACAAGAGCCGGCAGAGAAGTAACTCCTAATAGTTACGCTTCACCTGGCCGGTGGTGAAGAGCACGTCGAGAATTTTTAGGAATTCGCGATAATTAAACTCAAGACAAAGGCCACGCTTCATGCCGAAACACTTGCAGATGGCCTCAAACTCGCGGCTGCTCAGCATCTGGTGCATCTCGCGCACGGTGAGGCCGCGAAGGAACTGATTCTGTGTAATGGAGCCGCAGCTCTCACGATCAAAGTCCTTGAACACCTGACTCAGATTAGATATCTCGTCGGGCTTGCGTGCGAGCTTCATGAGTGCCTGCGAGCAAATGGTGCGCTCATCGAAGCTGAGGAAACAATCGACACAGTCCAGATTGGGCAGATGCAGCAGCGGCACCGCAGTCACCACCTGGTCGGCCATATTCGATTCGAGTTGTATGAAAATCTCATCCAAAGCCTTGCAGAAGTCACGATAGCGCACGGTGGCCGTGCGTCGCGGAGAACGGAAGCTGTGGGGCAGAGTGGGAAATGAGTGGTGGAGATCGATGGTGAAACTGCATCTGTATGGCCCTACATATTGCACAGAATGGTGACCTCTTCCTCGCTCAAACTGACGCCCGAATTGTCGAGGGAACGCCTAAAGTCCGACTCCAGAATCTCGCCCTCGCGGTGCCGGTCGTAGTCGGTCATGAAATCGATGACTGCCAGTCCCTTGGTCAGTGCCTGACGCTTGGCACTGGTCAGTATGCGTATGATGGTCTCCTCGCTGACCACCTCCGGCTGCACATGGTCCCGCGCGAAGGGCGGACATTCCTGCAGCTGCTGCTTGGACACCATGCTGGGCATGGCATACTCCGCCGGATCCACATCATCCAGGAACTTGGTGTAATAGAAGCCCAGCTCGTTGCCATAACGATGCAGCACAGCATCGAGCTCCTGGTTGGACAACAGAATGCCATTGGTGCGAAAGATTTGATTGGTTTGACTGCAGCGCACGTGGCCGCTGTTGAGTCTGCAAAAGGACACTCAGAATGGGTAAAGAAATCTTCGATGTGTCTTTCCACTCACTTGTCATAGCTGCGGAAGAATGGATGCAAATACAGGCGACGATTGCGTATGCGAATGCGTATCTTGGCCATCGCCTCCTCGCACAGCTCACGCATGCTCTGCGGCGTCGCCTGCCAGTCCACGGCGCCAGGTCGGGGCATCTCCTGGATGTGACGCAGCGGCGACTCGACCACACACTGCGGCATCTTGTCTAGGTTTTTGATGGTGAAAACTGCGGAAAAGGGAGCTTATATGCTGCGAGTGGCTCTTTAAGCCAGTGCCCTTACCCGCGTCAATTTCATCCACAAAATTGCGCCAACGCACGCGATTGATGTCCATGGGATCCAGATAGCGATCCACCAGCACAGCCAGCTCCCGCTGCGACAGATACTTGCCCACACCCATGTTGGACAGAGCGCGCTCAAACTGATTCTTGGTGATGCTGCCAATGCGCAGCGCGTCAAAGCTCTCCAGGAACTCGCTGGTGCGCACTTGGTTCTTGTAGACATAGTTCTGTATGCAAAAGATAATGTCACATTGGCTGCGATTCTTCTTTGGGTGATTGCAGGCATCCGGAAAGATGGGATGCACCACCTTGCAGCCATTGACGGCTGGCAGCTGCGAGAGTTCCAAGTCCACCAAGCGACCGGGAAAGTCCTTAATGATGTCCTAAGAAACGACAACAAATGAATATTAAGAGAAGCAGTTTTAGGCGACTGCCCCACCCGAGAGTTATCCAGCAGCTGGTGTTCCTTTAGGTACGAAACAATGTTATCAATGTGCTTGAGGAATGCCACATAGTTGACCAAGTAGCCATCCTTCATGTAGCGTCGCAGCAGCAGCAAAAAGTCCGGCTCCGACAGCGGTAACTTCATGAAGTGCAAAACACGCGAGAAATGCGATACCGTGACCACGCCCACATTTTGAGCAATCTAACAAGGAAATTAAATAAGTTTTGTACCGCTATGATGAGGATTATTCACCAGTTCATAGTCCTGAAAGTAAGGCATCAGCGGTATGTTTGATTCCTGTGCAATCTTGAGCAAAATCAAGCAAAGCCGCCGCCGATCCTCCGGCTGTGGTATGACATTCACATGCCAGGGATCATTCCACTCGAGGCCCGTGGCCAGGTCTGTCTTGGCGCTCTTTTGTAAAGCTAGGGAGGGCAATCTTAGTTACAGAAGTACTTTAGATTCCAACTCACTTTCGCTGCAGACCACCTTGCAGAACTGACGATAGGCCACGCGTCCATCGCGTATTTGAAAGTAGTCCGTGACGTCCCTCAGCTCTGTCTCGGACATGCCGGCCACCTTGCGATATTTGCCCAGCACCGCCGAGAAGATGGGTTCTGTTTGCGACATAAAAGTAACATAAAAAGGGGGCCCGACACGTTATGTGCCCAACGGCTGCCGCGTCCTACCCGATACAAAGCCGCTGCATCCTGGATCGTGCTGCTTCAGGTCCGCACAGATGTCAAAGTTATAACGAAAAATGGCGCCTTGAATTTTACGACAGGCGCGCCAGATTTGATTTAGTTCCATGTCCTCCTGCAAGGGCAGCCCAGAGATATTTTATGGGTAGGCAAATTAGTTGACCATTTTTAATGGCCCGCACATATGACGACCTTGACGACACTCACCCTATCATCGCCCTCCTCTATCTTGGTCGCATGCATTTCGGCTCAGGTTTTTAATATTTTTTGTTGTCTATGGAAAAAAAACAATCGAAAAATAGTTCCTACGACATGTGAATGTGTGTATAACTCAAATGAAACAATAAAGTCAAGGGTCACATAGCTACGTCCACATTACAAATTGGATTTCTCAGCTCTGCTGTGTTTGCCTATGTTGCTTCGAGGCGCCGAGGTTGCACGCAAGGAAGCCCCGAAGGAGCGCAACACTAATCACTTCCTACTCTTGCCCGGCCCGAGTCGAGTGCCGGACAAGCGACTTTCACCGTTCTACAAATCGCTTCCAATCACGCGCTCATTCATCGCCCAGTTTGTCGCAATGCCACCAACACTTTTATTCAATTTTCTATAAATGGCAAGGGGGAGAAACAGGGCAAAAACAGGAAGAAACACAACAACAAAAAACAAAGAGGAACGGTACGTAGAAATCCTAGAGTGATTGGAAAAAAAAACATATCCTGGCATCATCAAATGCAATTTCATTTTATTGGAAAATCGCATCCAAAACCAACCAACAGCATCGACGATGGTAAAAGGATGAAGGGGCTGGGTCTGGGGCTGGGGCTACTTGCAACTGGTAGCACGAGTCAAGGTTGATTGGCGACGACAGGTGCACTATATACACCTGACCACTTGAAGCCGGTCATTCGGGCCACTCGGGTGGGACACTCACACACACGGAACACTCGGGCGGGCCACTTCTGCGGACACGCGACTAAAAATAAGCTAAAGGGCGGTACTCCCTGGCATTTCGAGTGTTTGGCCAGATGCCCTTTTTGCTGTGACACTCGTCTCTCTCTGTAAATATTACCTAAATCGGTTGTGCAAGGAGTTCATTAGGATTGTACGACAATTGTGAAATGGAGAGGCTCCTGGAGTAGACAATTTGATTGGTAATATGCGAAGAATAGCGAAGAAACCCACCCCCATGGTGAAATTAGAAATTACTAAGAAAATTAGCTAATATTCTCACCATGCCCACCCCGCTCTCGATCGCTCATATATGAGAGCGTAAAAATCTCTAAATAGAATGCGCTGGCATGAGACTTCAAGACAAAAATAATATTTTATGAAAATATTTACATATTCGAGAATCCTTTTCGGATTTAATAGTTTGAAAATGGTTGAAATTAAATTCTCTAAATTCGCATTTCATTTCATTTAATTAAATTTAGTAAATTCTCAAAAGCATAACATTTCCACTGTAACTGTAAATAAATTTCAGGCACATCAGAAACCTTGACAATTGACTAATATATTTTCGTTGCTTCCATGTCGTCTCATTGGTGCTGTTTTCTTCATTAAGTCTTAGCTGTTTGCATATGTTTATGGCAGCCATTATGTAAATTGAAACATCCGTTGAGGAAACAATTACGTATATTTTTAGACATAAATGTTTCTCCGATTACCTAAATCTAAAAACATATTATTTCTAATTTAATGGCGAGAGGACGCATTCAGCATGAAACATTCTCATTTGTTCTTTGGAAATTTGAGCTTTTAATTTAATTTTTGTTTCGAGTGGGTGGAGTACGGGCAGGAGTACAAGTCCTGGCTGTATTCGTGCTGGCAAATTGCTTTGCAGAATCGTAATACCCGGAAACGGTTAGTTGGTTGGTTCAGGGTTGTGCTGTGTTGTGTGGGGGAGCCGAGGAGGTCATAAAAACGAATTGCAATCATTATCGTTGCTTAGATGAGGTTTTGCAACCAGGCATTTGCCCCACCCCGCTCACCGCTCCCCACTCCATACAGCCATTCCCCTGCCACCTTTGAAGCGTGCTTTATTGCAGTTTTTATTGCACATTTTTGATTTACTCAGCCGGGCAGAGCCATTGGAGGGAGCCACTTTGGGGCTTTGGCTATAAAAATGCGTGTGCCGTGTGCCGTGTGCCGTATGCCGTGTGCGTGGCCTGGTCATCGATTTGCTGTGGGTAGAGGTTTTTGTGTTCTTATTGTGCAGTGCTCCCTGTTTGATTTGATGCGGTGTTAAATTATAATTATGGGTTCAAGCTCTCTGCAAATGGGGTAGCTGGAGCTGGTGTGGCAGTGAGTTTTAGTGTTGAAGCAGCAGCAGGGCAGGGCGTTGAGCTTATCGTGCACAAACATATGGCATTTTGTCAGTTAGTTTGTTTTGACTTCTTTTTCACACAATCGCAGTGGCATCCGGCTTCACGGATGTGTGTGTTCTGTGTTCTGTGTGTGTGTGTGTGTCTGTGCAGGTAGACAAAGTGCCGGCATATATATTCATGAACCTGGTGTACATCTGCATAATGCAGGGCAGAGCCGCCCAAAGGAGCAGAGCAGGAGGCTACGCCAGTTGGCGTACATTGCCTTTTATTTTAGTGGCTGCTTCGGCTCTGTCTGTGTCTGTGTCTTCTTTTGGCGGCCACACACACACACACACACACACACACGTGTGTGTCAGGTGGCAGAGTTAAGCAGAAATATGGGAAAAAGGCAAACAATGGCAGGCAACCTAGTTATCGCCCGCCATCTTTATTGCATGCAAATGTGCGAGAGGAGAGGCCGCAAAAAGGAGGCGCGTCTGTTGAAATGGCTGACATACGAAACATATAGCCACACACACACTCACACATGGATCACACGCCGATGCACTGAGGGGAAAGCAGCCACTGCGTAGATTTTTAAATGGTTGAAGATCGAAAGAAGATTGAATGAAGATCATTGGAAGATCGTGTCTAGAGTCTAGCCTGGATATGTCTGGGAATCTATTGACTATCTATCTATATTTTTCAATATTTGTTTTATAAATAAGATAATATTTGGAGCTCCCATTTCGTTGTGAAGATCACGATATTTCCCATTAAAGTAGTCAGTAATGATCAGGGATTGAGCTGCTACAGAGTGATTTAAATCACTGCGGAGCAGCTCTTGGTCTTCCTTTATGTTCCAACAGCATTTGTGCTTGTTTGTTCGCATTTTCCTGAGTGTACACACACACACACAGTCACATATGTACGTTGTACATTGGGTAATGCACCTTTTGCCTTGCCGGCCGCATGCATATTTATCTTTTGCCAGTGCCGGCTCTAGCTCCATCTCCAGCTCCAACTCTGCCATCAGCTCCTTTGTGGCATGCATGCCACACATACATACATACATATGTGCCTAGAAATACATGCTAGTATAAGAAATACGATATCTTAAGTGTTAAACAGGCGCTTTGCCAAACAAGCTTGCACTCGGCACTCCACACTCGTCGCTCGTCGCTCGACGCTACGCCTTGCTGCTCCCCACACAAATCGTGGACTGGCAGCCTTATCTGGTATGGCTAACCCCTCACAGCCACGCCCAACTGGCTGACTGGCTGGCTGGTTGGCTGGCTGGCTGGCTGGCTGGCTGCTGCAGTGCATCACCTCAACGTCTAGGCATTCCAGGACCCTGCATATTTGGCTGCAGAACAAAAAGAAGGCATGAGCCAAAAGGAAAATAAAACCTACGCCGCGGCAAATAAATAAAAATGCTGCTCACTTCTGCTGCGGCGCGTTTTATGCGCATACACACACAGGAACACACACACAAAGCATATGCAAACAGGTGCGAGAAGCTTCGTTTTCGCTCTCTTGGCCATAATGCAGAAGGAGTTCCGCCACACACACACACACGCTGACAGTGCTGCCCAAATCAAAATTTAAAGCGGGCTGGAAAAAGCGGAATACAATTTCAGGAAATACAATTCGAGAAAATAACTTTAAGATGGAAAATGGAAAAATGTGCAAGGCAAAAATGAATTTAGTGACAAGGCGACGTCTTCCCCACACGGCTATCATATTCGGGAACCAATATCTCTATCTCCATCCCGTTTTAGCGCTTTTCACTCTGAGCGTGGTGAATTGATCCTCCCTACAGCAGAGAACGTCACCACGTTCGAAAATTCACCATGATTTGGAGGTTTGTGAAAAGACTAAAGCTGTTCGGCAATGAAACTATTATTGTTGCCACAGATGCGATAGCTGGCCCACAAACGTATTCAATCTGGGCCCATTGCTGCCACAAGCCACAAATGATTGCTGGACAAGAATCGTGAAATAAATTGAGTGTGGAATTTTTGCATTTAAAACAAGCTAGAATAAAAGTAGCCAAGCTGCCAGCACTGGTCTCCGCCTGGCTTCATTTCTGTAGTGCATACTTGTATTTCGGGCGCTGCTTATAATTCTACGCCAGAGTTGTAAATATTTGTTCAAGTATTTATTTATGTACTGCCTCCGCGCGCGCACATGTATGCATGTATGTGTGTGTGCAGACTTCCCTTTGGGTTTGCGTTGTGTTTGCGGCCCAAATTAAAATGCATTGCACTATTGCTGGCTTTTTGATTTGTAATTCCACTACCCACCACCCACTTCCACAACCGCTACCCTCTTCCACAACCACTCCTACTCACCACTCTCACTCCCCCTCTCTAGTGCTTCTAGTACTTTCAATTTCTTTAATGTTAAGAGCTACTCTGTTCCTTAGCTACTCTGTACCACCCACGTTTTTTAGCAGCTTGGTGACTATAAATTACAGCGGGGCAAGACAAATAGGTTAACGTGGCAGCAGCTTCTTTCTACCTGCGGGCAACATCCCTCTGTAATACTCGTAAACACAGCTTTAGAACGACTTCTTCAAGTCATTTCAGCTGTCATGATTATTTGCAATGCACACAATTTATGTGGCTTAGGGTGAAAAGTTTTTGCATAATCACATTTGTCACTAGATGCGTTCGATTTTATATAAATTCGCTGCCAATTCGCTTATAAATCTGTGATTGTTTTATGGCATAATACATTTAAATTCCTCCATTTGTTCACATTTTAACCCGTTCCCAAAAAATTAGCTCAAGAATTTTGTTGAATATTTCTGCATGGATTGGAATGACACATCTTTTTTTTTTGTGTTCTGGCTTGGGGCAATTTTGTAAACTGCTTTGGGTTCGGGATCTCGTTTTGCTTTGTCCATGACAAGCCAAAGTTATCAATTTTTGCAGCTGCTCCCTCTCCTCTCTCTTTGGCCATGGTTCATCAAACAGCTCTCCACAGACACATCTTGGCATTTGGAAATTGATTT